GAAATAACAGTAAAGCAGCTTAAAAACTAATGGAGAGGGATTTCCAGTAATTGAAACTGTAATTATTAAAATCTTTATTTGCTAGGTGATTTATAGATATCAAAAATCTGATTTTAGTAATACTTTGCTTAGTGGCAGAATTCAATATTTTATAACTGGTTAAATACAAGTCTCAGCTGTGTTGCATGTGCTCATTTTGTTAGAAAAGCACAGAATTTTGGCAAAAGATCCTTTTTTTTCCCCCTTGGTGAAAAGCGCGAAGGAAAATTGGCCACTGACCTACAGAATGTGCTGATCCTTAGCCCAAAGGTAGCCACAAACTGCTTTTGCTTTGGAAGTTACAAAATGAGTTGGGAGGGTCCATAGCTTTTAACAGTGCACACCCATTATATGCAGACAATGTCAGGTTTCGTTTCTGGGATTTTCAGTGGTAAACATCTTGGTTAGGATGGCAGGGTGAGACCTCCACTTGATTAACATATATGTTGGGGATTTTTGAAGTATACAAGTACACATTACAGTAGAGCAAGTTTGGTCTAGTGATTAAGGCACCAGGTTAGAAACTATAGAGTTCTGGTCCTGCCTTAGGTATGAAAGCCAGCTGTGTAACTTTGAGCCAATCAATCTCTGCCTCAACAAGCCAATTGGTCAATTTCTGTTGCAACCAATGGATCAACACTTGAACTCTGCACCTGTGGGAAAACACTACTAAGAAAAAAAAGGTAGACATTACATGGCAAAAAGCAACAAAAATAGTTCCAATAGAAGATATTAGATCAATTGCCCCTTGTGAGGTTTCTGGAATATAAACTTTTTCAATCATCTCTCTGTTCTCTGTGTTTCTTTTTTAAACATCAGTTCATCATCACAGGCTTTAGTTCAATTCTTCACTCCAGAATGTTGAAAGGTGTGGACAATCATTTTTCTGGGATGATGAGGATTCCTGTACTGGGCAGGGAATTTTTTATTTATTTATTTGATTTGATTTGTCAATCGCTTACAAGATAATAGGTATAAGTAGTTATGAATACATGAAATGGGTACATATAAGAAAAATAAGAGAAACAATAGGACAGGGACAGTAGGCACGTTGGTGCGCTTATGCACGCCCCCTACAGACCTCTTAGGAAAGGGGTGAGGTCAATAGTAGACAGTCTAAAGTTAAAGTTTTTGGGGTTTGGGGGAAAAAACAGAGAGACAGGTAGAGTATTCCAGACATTGACCACTCTGTTGCTGAAGTCATATTATTATAATAATTATAATTGGATTAGATGACCTCCAGGTTCAACTCTACAATATACCAAATATTTTAGTATCTGGATTAATTGCCCTCTACCAGTCATTGAGCTATTTCTTATTAGCAATCCTTGGTGGAACTCACTCTGCCTTTAGTGTGGGGATAGACAATTGTCTTGGTGTAGTGATGCACTGTATTTAATTGGCTAATGGTTGGAAATGCAAATACAGTGGAAAAGGGCTGTGCAAATCATAGCCTGGAGGTCCTATTTACCCATTGTTGACTTAAAAGTGCTACCCATTTCTCCTTCAAACTAAGTTGGCAAAAAGCATTAGAATACTAACATAACATTTTCTATCCCTATTGCTATGCCTCTTTCAATGCTGCTCCCAGTCATCTGACTTTATTAGTAAAAGGGAGGGGTGGGAGCCTAAAAGCGTTACATATTTTTGAGGCTGCCCTTGCACATTCTGCAAGAGGAAAAAAAAACTAACACCACTACAGCTAATAACGGCTTAAGCTTGTCTTACAGTATTCATAGGCTGGGAATGAGATGAAGGCAGTTTGGGGAGCCGGCTTAAAAAAACGTTGCAAGGGCACATGCACACAGTCAAAGGTAGACGAACCATGAGGAAGGGGGAAGACCAGTTATTTCCAGCATCCCTGGCAACACCAAACAAACAAGCAAACAAAAAAAAAAAGATGGATGCGTTGTTATAAACAGCAATCTCCCCAGTGGTGGTGGTGGGGGGAAGCTGGCTTGTAATAGCGACTTCCAGTCACAGACTTTGTGGCAGCAAAAAAAAATAGGAGCCTTGTGGATCCTATTATGGTCTTCTGTTCATTCCTTACCTAGGAGAGCGAAACCCGAAGTTCTGGGACTTCACATGGTAGAAAAGCAAGCCACTGAAGAGAGAGTGGGAAATGGGAAAGGCAAGTTAAGTGTTTGCGGAGGTGACCCCACTCACCAATGGCTTCAGTTCCTTCCCAACCTGGGTCTTTTGCCTGGGCCCCACCATCAGCATGCAGAGCCTGCCAAATGATACCGGGGTACAGTCGGCCCCCTTCGGATGTCGAAGAATTTCCAGTATTCCGGACAGCAGGGATAAGGGTGCTTCGGGGTGGCCATTCAGTAAGGGCTACAACTGCCCTCAGAAATGCATTGCTCGGCACCGAAAAGCGTCCTGTTTCCTCGAAAAGATGTGGGATTTGGGGCTCTTTCGGGCACAACCAGCTACTCTTTTAACCACGCACCATCTTAAAAGGTCTGCCATTGGTTTTGTTTTGTTTAGACTTGTATTTTCTTCTCTGTCCCGCGGACGACGACACTACATGACCCCACAACATGTCCCAAATACTGAAGGGTTCGTCTGAAGGTTTCTAGTCTGGCTTTTTCTCTGGGACAAAGCTTTACACGTGCGCACGGCTGGAAATGGAAGATTAGGCCTCCAGATCGCTTCGAAGTAAACAAGCCTACAAACTCGGCTGTCAAACATGATAAATGTGTACCCAACGGCAGTAGAAGCTCCTCACGGCTGGGGTTTTTTTTATGACTGGGCGTGCGCGAGCGAGGTGGGGGGAAGGAGGAGAGGTGGAATCCCGACCGACCGCCTCTCTCGAGCGGGGGAGGGGGGGGGAAAGGGACGCTCCCCCGCCCATCGGCGAAAATAGCAAGCCCCGCCTCTTCACAGCGGGAGGGCGAGGGAGGTGCCTTTCCTATTGCCTTAGCAGCCCGAGCGCGCGCTTTTGCAGCTGGATGCTATTTTAGCCACTGAACGTGCTCCCGCCCTTAGTGATAAGGTTGGGCTCCTCTCAGCTTCTTTGCCAGCGGCTCTTCTTTCGCTATTGGCTCTCTCTCTCCCCCCCCCCCCCCCCCCCCCCCCCGCCCTCCCTTGGATCTCCTCCTTCCCATCCTCGTCTCTTGGCCTCCACCGCCAACTCTTCCCGGTTTGGTTTCGGATTGGTCAAGCTTGCATCCCAACTCCCCCCTTCAAGCGTTGCGATTGGATAGGCGCCCCGGTCGCTGGGATCTCTGATTGGACGTCGCTCTTCCCTCGTTGGGCCACCGCCCTTGACATAAGCCCCAACCTGCAGCTCTGGCTGTTCTGTCGCGGGGGGGAGGAGGGGGGCTGTTTCCACGTGGGGAGTGGCACGTAGTCACTTTCCGCCCTGCCTGTAAGCCGAAGCGGAGGAGGAGGAGGAGGAGGTTAAGCGCTTTTGCCCGAGTCACGTGGGGCGGCGAGGGGAAGCGGAATGGAGCGATCCCTCCGATTTCTCAATTGGAAGCGCTTTTGTTGCGTGGCCGCAGCGATGCTTTTTTTTTTCAAGCGGGAGGGGGAAACTTCAGGCGCAGATGCTCTCCCGCCCGTCCCGCGGTTGCTGTCAGCTGCCTCTTGAATGCATGCAAAACAAACAAGCCTTAACCTTGTGGCTGATGCACGTGCTTCCTCTTCCTCCCATTAGTTGATTAAAACATAAAAGCTGTCATAATAAATGCTGTTGCGGTTTATCTCCCAGAACCTGATCTTTTTCCCCCCCCCGAATATGCTAAGTAATCTAGCCTCTGATTTTCCAGCCGGTAATGCGACCCGAGCCTAGGAAAACTTAGGCCGCACTCAGGGAAGACCAGTCGAGGCTTGACAGCAGACAGTAATAATTGTCTATATGTGTACTCGGAAGTGAATTTAGTTGTGTTTGATGAGAGCTCTTCAAGGTAGCTTTGGATTGCCTTCCAATTAGATTTTCATTTTGAAGTTTGGCATATTTGTGCAAGTTTACATTTTTTCCTTATTTGGAAACTTTCTGAAAGAAACCTTACTTATCTAACACAGAGGTCTCCAACCTTGGCAACTTTAAGACTAATGGACTTCAACTCCCAGAGGCTGGAGAATTCTGGGAATTGAAGCCCACAAGTCTTAAAGTTGCCAAGGTTGGAGACCTCTGATCTAACAGTTCATTTCACATTTTCTTAACTGCTGGTGACCTCTTGGGTTTGATGGGATGTTTCTTGCAGTGTGTGTGTGTGTGTATAAACTTTTTGAGGTTTCTGACTTCGTTGAAATTATGCTTTTTATAACAATCACACATAACCTGCTTATGTATTCCTTCCCCTGTTCTATTTCTAGCTTTGAATAACCCTGAACAATAGAGAATTGACCCCTCAGGTTTCTGTTTCAACTTCCATTTTACCAATCTGTTATTTAGAAGTTTCCTTTCTTTTAGTGCCCAATTGATTTGCCTTGGCAATTTTCTGGTTACATATAAATCTGAAGCCATTGTGTTTACAGTTTCCAATTAGTTCAGAGAAACCTTGCATTTTTAGGATTAGTTTGAGGTCATCTCTAGTTGGTTCAGTTAATAATGTATCCTTACTTTAATATTTTCTCTGTTTTCCTGATTGTATTTTGCATCTCCTCTTGCAGAGAAAAATAGCACGCCCCAGGGCAAAATCAATTTTACATCCTTGCATTTTCATCCACAGCCATTATGGGGAAGAACTCTTTGAGGTTTCTGGCTTCATTGAAATTTTACTTTCTATAACATTGCACACATAACCTGCTTATGTATTCCTTCCCCTGTTCTATTTAATAAATTTGCATTTACATGATTATCTTGGTTCTGTTTCACAAGATATTTGTTATTCTGTATTTTTTTTACTTTTCAGCTCCTCCATTTTGGCACAAAGGTTTGTATTTAACAAAGAAACATAAGCTCTTCGATATCTCTGGATTTAATTTTCTCCTATGTCTGTTTGTCTTTTTATCATGTTCTATTTTCTTGTAGTCTATTTCTCCTTTATCCTCATTTGGCTGGTCAGCAACATTTTGACCCTCATCCCCCTATTGATGATTCATCACAAAATGGAAGGTCAGTTTTTTTCCAAGGGCCCAGTTTGTTTGCTTTTATTATCCTACTTAGATGAAACTCCAGAATGATGCAAGCTTTGAGGGCCTTTACCAGGGTTTGTGCCAATAAATAAGTTTTGGAGATTGCTGCATGGCCACCTTCCTGCTTTGCAACTTTGTCACCTAAGGTGATTTCTAGGGTGGCATTGGAGAATGTCAGGATGATTGCTCTTCGAAAATTTTAATATTCATGTTGAAGCTGTTATGGGTGGGCAAGCTAATAATAATATTTAACATTAATATTTAATTTAACATTATCCAACATTTAGAGTAAATCATAGTTTTGTTTTAGTCTTTGTCTTGGGACATGAAAGGGATAGTCTGGTTACCATGGAAGTGAAAGTGATGTTTGCTCATTGTCATGGCCAGGCCAATATATAGTGAAATTTTATCCCACATAATCAAACTTATTGTGGAGTGGGAGTTGCTCCTTGACATTTGCAGATTCTGAAAGATTCCTGAATACTCTGGGGAGATTCTCATATCAGTGTCCTAAATCCAGCTGAGGATTTCTACAATGGTTGAGGTTAAGAAAATTGCCCTGAGCAACAAAACACAAGGATACTTATATGGTTACTCCCAATCATAGCAACCTGTAGAGCTTGCTCTTTCTCGGGAACTTCTGAGACATTGAGATCTATGGGATAAATATTGTAGCACATAATAAAGCCAGAGTGTACTACTGGTTGGAGCTACAAAGTTGGCAACTTCATACAGGATTTCTATACCAGTCCTAAATATTCTTAATCTATCGCCTGTGCTCAACTTTTTTAGCATAACTAGTGCATTATAATCTTTGAAATATCTTTCCATTTTCATTGGAGAACCTCTAATTAGAGAGTGTATGTGGTCTGTTTCACCATGGACCGAAGTTGTCTCTCAGCAAGTGCTTTCAAGGATCTGATGAACACTCCTTGTGTGTTCATCAGATCCGCGAAAGAAGGGAGGGGGTTTGATGGCTTCATCCCTCTTCAGTTTTGCTTTTTTATATACAAGTAGAGGGAAGTAAATATACCCAATCCTGCTCATTCCATTGTACTTTAAAACAGTGTTTTACTTGAGTTTTTCTGTTAGTAGATCCTTTTGGTATTTTGTCAGAACAGCAGTCAGCTGATTGAAGAGAGCAGAGGAAACTTGTGTTCCTCCCACAAAGTATCCCTAGGCTCTGGTTGAAGTGTTGGGTTTTTTTAAACTGTCTTGTGCTGCATGAATGCACATACACACACTTGCAACCCCCCCTTTTTGTGTGTGAAGGGCTTTTGCTATGCCAGGGCTCTCCCTCACAGCTCCGTCAACCACCTTTAGCGTCCTATTCATGTTATCTGTTGGAAAGTACTGCTTGCTAATGTTGGAATTATTTTAAATGCCATAAAGTTATGGCCTTTGTTCTATCATTGTCACAATTAGCAATGGACTTTTAAGTGGAAGAGGAAGGGTAGATGGGTGACTTTGCACCTCTCTTTTTATAGCTATTCTTCTGTTTTGGGGTTTATTTTGCAAATGGCCAAATACATGTAGCCAGTATGTTTTTGGGTAGTAGCCAGCCATTTATTTTGTGTAGGAAGTGAAAAAATGTTTGTTGCTCCAGAATCAACAAAGGATGGGATGAGTTTCGTCCTGAGGGAGATGGGCAGTTTCTACATTTGATAGGTAGGTAGGTAGGTAAGTAAGTAAATCCAATTGATTGGGGGGGGGGGGGAGAGGGGATACCCTCTCCTATTGGTCAGTTATTTTTATACCAATGGTAATATCTGGTCAACCTCAGTTGATCTTGAAAATCTAAGCAATGTTGTGTTGCTTAAATTTTAAAAATGTGGAGAAGATTGGAGGAAGAAGGTATATTAGATATATTCACACTGACTTATTTATAAAATGTTGAATCTAGATGGGAAACCACCAGGAATTCCCAACATCCAGGGAGAAGGCAGCAGCACACCACTTTTGCATTGTTGGCATGAAAGCTACATAGATGTGTCAAGCTTCAAATTGAGAAAGTTGCTATCTTTACAGGTCAGATGGAAGAAGAGCTTCACTTTGGTGTTCTAAAGGCTGCAGCGGTAAAGATGAAGCACATCAAGCTTCATGAAACATGAGGGAACTGGGGGACAGAAATGGTGGAAGTGACCCAAAACTGGGTTTCTTGACTGTCATGCATCATCAAGTAGCCATACAGCAGAATTTCTTTGAGTGGCTAAAGATTTTCCAGGATCTACACTGGTGTACAGATGTTCAACCAACCACATATTCTCTGGATGATTCATATAGTACTAGCCAAGAGATTTGAGTGCATGAAGAATGATGCACATGGCCTTAAAGGTACATCTACTGTTAAATAAGTGAAGAAGCTCACATAAGCCAGTCCTTTTTTAAAATATTCCTATGATTCCCAGAATTCTAAAAAGACTGTTTTGGAAAAAATATTACTTTTCAAAAGGTATTTCAATATACATATATTGGGATTCCAGTAGTACAAAGCAGTAGCACATTGCTGATCATGATATCACCAGCTCAGGTACCATTAAAAAAAATTGCTGGGATTTGAAATTACAAAAGTGCCTGTATGTTGCTGTTGATAAAACAAGCACTAATGAGCAGCCTCCAGCGTTGCATGAATTAAGCTCTGCACAGTGGGATGTTTACGTCACACTCTCCCCATTGCATCTACAAAAGCCTGAAAGTCTTTCCAAAGCACAGGATAGCACATTCAGGAGAAGCCAACCCTCTCCACACACACTCCACACCCCATTATGCAGCAGTGGAGCAAGTTTATTGCTCTTCTCCCAGCAAAAGTATTTTGCTTATGTCAGCAGTGTGCAGCTTCCTTTACTGAGGGTTATATTTGGCCTTTGACTGATGTGTGCTAAAAAGTAATTACATTTGGGAGAAAGAAGTGGGCAGGACCAGAATGAAAAGGAAATAAAATTTAATTTAAATGTCCTCCATGTGGCAGCGCCTGTCCAACTTTGCTTGCCCTTGGAAGCTAAACTCTGTTGAGTTGGATGCTAGCGTGACAGATAAACATACGTCTATGAAAGGCCACCAGGATACCCTATGGTTAGAGACTGGGAAGTGGAAGAAAAATCATGGACGAGCAGTAGAAAACATCTTGCCCAGTTGCCCCAATATCCTGCATTGATATAGGCCCATGGTGTCACATATGCCCTTACAATAGTATCAAAGAGAATTTTCTGCAGAATTTATTTGAAATTAATCACAATTAAGATAACTCATTGGTAGCTATTTTTAGAGCCATATCCATATCCTAGATTTTTGAACCAACACACATCCTGCTTTAGATCAATAGTTAAGGGAGGGTTTCCCACTAGCATTTATTTTTCATACAGGAATTCCTCATGAATTATGCTGGACAAAATAATTTTTGAAAATAATGCATTTCTTCAGACAAGATACATTGACATTGGTGCACTTGCCACTTGAGTTTTTTCTTAAATATTCAGTGGGGGAGATCAAAGGAACATAGTTAACTGGAGTTTTGGGATATAAATGGAAAGACTGTGCAATTGTACTTCTTTTCCTTACATGAATTTTGCCTTGAACACAGGAATATTCAAGGTCAAAATCTTTGCCTTGTGTTGCCCATCCCCATTTGTTCCTCTTCCTTTCTCTCCAGCATGTTCCTCAGTGTTTCCTATGGAAAGAAACCACATTTTAGCTCTGTGTGAGTTGCGGTGAGAAAGGTGTTGCATTATGTGTCATGTTTTCATGCATTATGCATTGGGATTCTCACAAACTTTGCCCCTTCCCACAGTCACCAGCAGAATTGTCTTGCGTAGAATAGTCACTAGGGTATATGGATATTGTACCTGTGAATCATTTAATCAGCAGACATACCTGTTAGACAACAGTCTTTAATAACTGCAATTTATTATATATTGTTAGTACCCTTTTCAGGGATTTTCTCATTTTATGTATACTCATGTGGGCTTAACTGTCTTCCTGTGAATAAAAGGACTTATTGCTAATTGAGGTGGACCCAGGATTTAAGATCTCTGGAGATGAGGCTGGACTAGCAAATGTTATGTGTTGTGTGAATCCGTCCAGAATCTTAGGAAAATAAGCATGTTTTATACTAACTTTCCAATAGGCAAGTTTAATCATCGCAACCAACACTTGGCAGTTAATCAAATCAACAAGAGAAGCTCAGAATTGCACATTGAAAAAGATAACATCAAGTTAATATGCAGAGTCAGGCTATTAGAAAGAAACTTCCTTCTGAACATGAAATGAGTACAATGAACAGAAATTCAGCCAAAAATGTATGCTGGCTACAACTGATGTTTAAAAAAATGTAGATTTGAGTAAATAAAGCAATAGGAACACAATTCTGAAAATATTAACACCCACTATACAAAACAATCTGAGAGGCAATTGAAATAGGTGTGTCTGTGTGAGAAAGAGAGAATATTAAAGGCTTTCTGCAGGAGGACATAAAGGAGAATGTGTTAGAATTCCAAATTTATAGCAGAAAATGTATTTTAATTTTGCATAGTTGTAGACTTAAAATAATATTAATATACAAAGCAACCAACCCAACAGCCCAGTTCATAACAGAAATTAAATATAACTGGATTTTTTTAGAGCGAAATCCTACTAAAACAACTATAGCACAGTTGTTTTATAGTCAGTTTTCTGGAAACTTTGGATGCTGTTAATTTATTGGGAACTATACAACTGGGGCCAACCCAAAAACTTTATGGTTAGAGGGAAGATTAGCTCCAACCACCAAGAACATGTAATGTACTTTTGCCTTGTCTCATGTTGTACAATATGTCAGTTTTAGATTGCAACAAGAAATTTGGTGTGCAGATTCCTAGAATTTTCAGAGACATCGTTTTGATACACTTAATTGTATCTGGTTTGTTTTTAACTTGTAAACTTCCATAAAGGCAAGCCTGAAGGCATGTGATTATTTTTATGTTCATTAAAGTGTGGCACAATCAGGTATATTGTGCCCTGGCATCAGGTACATGCCCTGAGTTAATGCAAAGAAAAGACGTTCTCTGCAATTCAGGAAGCATTTCAGAGAAGTACCATACAGGGGCAAGCTGGCGTGTGCTTCTGCCTCTCTCACCATTCTGTTGTGTGTCCACTCCTCCTCCTGCGCAGCCAGAGGCAATGGGAGAAACGCAGTATTTTTTCCTCCTGCATGTATAAAACTGCATGGCACTTGTGAGCAGGCAGGCCGAAGGAAAGCGAAAGATGTTGTGTGTGTGCTTGCACTGGCACTGTGCACAGAAGACTTGGACACGGTCCAAGCTGACAGAGAAGCCACTGGGTGGGGAAAATAGCAGGGATCTGTCCGTGTGTGCATGCGCATGCGCATACGTGTGCATGCATGCATGCACATGTGTAAATCAAGGTAATCTGGAGCTTCTTCAGCCAATCCAGGAGATCATATTCCAAAATCTAGGCTGTTGCCATTGCCACATGAGGAATTGGAGAAAGAGTCCATCAATCCAGTATTTGTATAGTAAAGTCCTATTCCTGGCCTTGTGAATGCATTCAGCACTAATGAACTAACTAGAGTTTGAATTCAGCAGAATAGGGATCGCATATCAACGCTATATTACACATCCAATTAAGCATGTATTCCTAATTTTAATAAATAGCATTCTCTAGGAAGGAGCACCCTCATTGGCGTGAGTGGGTAAATTAACCCTTTCCTTCCATGCTCCACTGCAGTGAGCATTCCCTTCATTGAAGCCAATTTCTGACCTGGGAAGAAATGCTTGTTAGCACCAATAGGTATCCACGAATGGAAGCAGACTTATAACTCTTTTCTGGATTGACCCATTCTCTTCTGTCTCTCCCCTATTAAGTTTTTTTCTTCCTATATTTAACCTCCAAGATTTGAAATCAGCCTAAGGAGAAATGGCACAGAGGTAAAAGTAGCTACCAACACAATAAATAATTAGTAATATTAATTGAACCTCTCCAGCAAATACTTGAACGAGTCATTTCTATTGTTTATATGACTGCCTTTGAGATCTGTCTTTGAAAAATACAGAGTAAATTAATACCACCAGTTCTCTGGGCCTAATGCACTCATGTGCCAGCAACATGCCTCATTGCTACCCTTAATATGTAACATACATATTATATAGCATTTGGCACTAATATTGATCAGTATTAAAAGAATCCATCACTCTGCTTTATTATTCCTGAAGAATTTATACCACAATCCCAAGACAGAACCAAAGGTTAAGGCCAGTGTATTAATCAGCTTACAGCAACACTAGATTCTGGCTGAGCTTACAGTCAGTTTCTTGTATTAATATCAGAAAGATATTATGGGTTTATGTTTTACATGAGGATTAGTAGTTAACTTATGTACTAAACTCTAGCTGGTAAAGCCCGAGGCTACAACAGTACTTAGTATTACATAATCATATAACTTTGTAGATCATTCGTAGTACCTAAGGATGATGGGATGAATGATCTACGAAGTTGGAAAGGCTACCATGGGGCATCTTTATTTGAATCTCAGCCATCTTTACAGTCCTGAAAGAAAGGTTGCTGGAAGATAGGCCAAAAGCAGGTGCCCACGGATGCATTTAGTAATGGTAGGCTCGCTGTTGTATCCTTTCCTTGTCGTTGAGCTACACCACAGCCATAATGCGCTAATGCTGCTACAGGTCAGTTTTGTTAACGCTTATTTCACGACAATAGCATTTCCTCCAAAGAGGACTTTTTGGGTTTTACATGAAGGCGACGAATAACGTTAATAATAATCTGTCTCACTCAAGGACAAGAAGAATCCCCTTATGGGCTGGAAAGGTAAAATTTACAAAACCCTGCTATCTTCTACCGAGCTTCGCAATCGCAGCAAGGAGTTGAAAAAGAGCTTAAAAAGCAGAGCTGGACGAAAAGGAGTGGGTGAAAGCGGGGGAGGACGGCGAGGCGCTAGCAGGAGAGCTGAAGCGGCTTGGCTTCGCTGTTTATTTCTTGCAGGGCTCCGACTGGGGGCGTGTATTTAAATAGAGCCGCGCAGCCAATGCGCGCCGAGGGGTTGGACCGTGAGGGCAGCTTGTTTACAACAGATCTTTCCGAGCTGTTCTAACCCGGCCGGCAAGGAGGAAGAAGGAGGCGAGAAGCAAAGCCTGGCGTCGGGAGCACGTGGAGTCGCGCGCGCGGGGGAGAGGCGGCCAGGCCTCCCCGTCCGCTCCCCCTGCCGCCCGCCCCGGGAGGAGCCGTCTGCAAGGTGAGGTGATGGGTGCAGCGACGGAGCTGCGCAGGCCCTGCCAAAGTCCACCGTGCACTGGCGGGACTGGTAAATAAATTCAGGCAAGCTCGTTGGGTGTTCGCTGCAAAAAGGTGGTAGATCTTGCGAAAGGACAACCGAAATGGGGGCTGGCTCGGAGCAAAGGTCCAATATAGTTCCAAACAACGCGTGCAAAAGTGGCTCTCGGAGGGAGCTTTTAAGCGGCTGGAAGGCGGCGACTTATTGTCGCTGGTTTTGTGCTTAATCGGCCAAAGCGACTATTGGCAGATATATTGCTTCTGCACATGCAGGATCCATTATTAAATTTACAGTAGTTACTTCATCTGCCTGGAAATGATCCAGTCCTTTTGGATTCCTCTTAGGAGCCAGCGGCCATTGCTTCGTCTGACGACGGAGAAGCCCCCCAAACTGCTTAGGCTTCAAGTAAAAAAGTGCAGTTTTGGTTTTGACAATCTCCGTGATCTGCCTCAATACACATTCTCGACTTCTAATGTTTTAAGAAAAAGCTTCCCGGGTTTACTTCATATTTTTGCGCATTTTTATAGCTGGCTGACATATTCAACCACTTTTCCTCCGTCCTCCTTCCCTTCCAATTACTGTTTGCCTAAATTAAGCTCTTTCCCCATGAAGAAAAGCAGAATCTCCGCCTTTTCTAAGGGCGCAGCTGCAGGTGCATTCGACCACCAACCTCTGCAGACAGCGTGTGTATTGGCCATGCTGGCAGAGGAAGATGGTTGTGTAGCCTAACATTCAGTAGGCAAGAGGCAGTTTTAGCTGTTTCCCAGAGGAAGCAAACTACAGCTACATAATCATTTATGTATTACTTTTCTGGATGTTTGTACATTAATGCTTGCATATATTTTGCTTCTACTGTGGTCTTAAGTAGAAAGTGAACTCCTTGTTTCACCAAGATTGGCTAATGAAAATGTCTTTTTTTTCCTTTATTTTGCAAACAGGTATGTTTGGTCTTTGAGACTTTTAACTCACTAAAAACACTTTTGTAGCTCATCTCCTCAAAGGAATCATAGTGTGCAATTACAGAAGTTTTTCCATAAAATCTGGGGGGAAATTCCTTTATATGCATTTGTACTGATTTATATTTATTGACAGCCTCAACTGTGTAGACAGAAAGCCTCATAGCAGCCTTTCCGAATCCTCCAGATAGGTTGGACTGGAATTCCAAGAGCTTCCAGTTTCTAAAAATTTAGGAATTGCAATTCCAATACATGTGGAGGGTTCCAGGTTGGGAAAGACTGCTTTAGATAGCAAATGGATGGTGGAAAGGGGTTACTTCAAGTCAAACGAGAACACATTCAATCCCCAAACCACATTTTTTGCAGGTGTCAAAGCTGTGTCTGTCTGTATCTGTGGATTTCAACAGCACAATGTCCCCCAAACCCAGCAACACCATTTGTGGTGGGGGAAAAAACACCACAGGACAGTTAATCTAAAATTCTAAAATAGGCCTGGCATGCTTTGGAAGACAAACCATTCTTTCCTCCTCAGCTGGGAAAAAAAGAGAATTTCTGCTCCACCAAAGTTGCAGATAAGCCTCTACTCACTTTATGATCTGCTCACTGCAGCTTTCCAATAGTTTATCCTTCACTCCTCAATTTAATTGAATAGATACACCCAGTTCTCATTTTTGTATTTGTGAAATAT